CTCACTCTCTCAAATAAATGAATAAATAAAATCTTTAAAAAAAAAAAAAAAAGATTAGGAAACCTTGGAGTCAGGTGACACAGTCAAGGTGGAGGCACGGCCGCCAGACCCCACAGTGCGTGTCCGCGCCCCGCCTCGCACGTGGCCTCCTTGGTACTGGCAGCCATGTGGGCTGTGGCTTTTTTTTCTTAATCGACAGTATAGTTCATTCTTTTGATAGTTACTCCTGTGAGTTTGGATAAATGCATAGATTGAGTGAGAGCATCGTAAATTCACATGTAGTTGTAATAAATAGTAGAGGTCCTGTGTACCATTTACTGATGGTACATCTGGCAAAACTATAGTTGGGCATCACAAGCAGGAAATGGAGGCAGACACAGTCGAGGTACCAGCCATCCCCATCACTGCGAGGGTCCCTCCTGCTGCTTTTTCATCCCTGCTCCCACACCCCCAGCCCAAATCTTCATCTCCGGCCCCGGGTCCCCTCCTCGAGTCTTCCGTTTCTTTCGCTGTATCATTTCAGGCATGTCCTGTGAACAGAGTCATGCCATAATTAATGTGTGGGGATTGGGTTGTTTCTCTCTGCGTAATTCTCTGGAGAGTTATCCCAAGTAGGTGTCAGTAGTCCATTTCTGTTTAACACTGAGTAGTAGTCCACGGTGCACCTGTACCAAAGTTTAACAGTTCACCCCTGGAAGGGCACTTGGGTTGTTTCTTAGTTTGGGCTGCTGTGAGCAAAGCTGCTGTGAACATCCATGTGCAGGTTATTGTGTGGACATAAGTTTCCATTTCTCTGGGATGAATGCCAAGGAGACCACTCGCTGGGTCATTTGCTAGTGGCTTGAGTGGGCTTTTGAAAGATGCACTTAGGATGGAGGGGCTGGTGAGGGGTGGGGGCCGTGCTGCAGGTGGACGTCAGTGGGAAGCATGTACCTGGGAGCTGGTCCGCTTGGGTTCAGATGCAAGATCAGCCCTTATACCCTTGGTGAGTTGCTTTATCCGTCTGTAAAACGGGGATAAATGAACCTGTTGTGTAGCTGATGTGTGTAAAGTATTTGGTGCACAGTAGGTTCTCAGTAGATAGAAGCTGTTCTTCATATGGGTTAAGAGAAAACCCACCAGACCAGAGCGGGGTCTGTGCCCCAGAGGTGGCCTCCAGGAGACCTTCATCACGCCAGCTGTGGCTCTGGGACACCTCCTCCTACCTTGGGCAGAGCCATGCTCCCAGTTGTTCCTTCACAGGTGGAGACCCACCCCCCTACCCCCCCGCCCAGCTTCACCCCCAGCTTTTCCCTGAGCAGTCCCTGGCCCCATTCTCAGACTCGGCTCTAAGTCTCTGGACAGGCATCGGCATTCCTTAGTGAACTTGGCGAGGCCCATGCCACGGATCAAAGGAATCCCAGGGAATTCCAGATTGTGCCAGGCTCTGCTGGTCTGGATTTGCCTCACAAGGTCTGAGAATGTGCCTGGATCATTTCAGATGTTGCTACGATTTAGCTTCATTCCAAAATGTGTATTGAACTCGTACTGTATTCAGGGTACTGTGCTAGGTATTGCAAAGGGCCCCCCTAAAATCACTTTTTCGACAGATCAGAGTAGCCCAGCCCCTCGGGGAGCCGCCTATGGCTACATGATAAAGTCTGCATTCAGCTGGCATTCTGATCTGTCCGGCTGGTTTGACTCTGTCTTCCCAGCTCCTTGTGCCCACACTGCCACCTCTCCACATACCCTCTGCTCCTGCCCCCAGGGTGCTCACCGAGTCCCATGCACCGTGTACGGGGCAGGGCCCCGCACTTTGCTCACAGCCTTCCCTCTGCTCGTGTGCCTTTCCTTCAAGTTGCAGTCTTGCCTATTTTCTTTTTAACCAAAAAGGTGTCATGTGTACTGGATGAGGTATTCAGGCAGCACACAAAGCTATACAATCAAAGTGTCTTCTACTCCAGAACTGCGGTGCCTTCCCTAAGGCAGCCATGCTTTCGGGACCATGCTGTGCTCCTCTTGCTGTATTCATTTCACAGTGTGTCTTGGAGAGGATTTCACATCTGTACGGTCAGAGATGCCTCGTTACAGTTGTGCCTAAAGCGACGTGGTATCCCTTTACATGGTTCCACTGAGCCCCCTGTCGATGGTGTCTTGGTTGTCCCCACTCCTGGACTCCTGTAGGTCGTGCTGCGTGCTGCCGGCCACTGTGCAGAGGGGTCTCTACAACTCCGCTCCAGTGCCCCCCACTCCTGCCTGCCTTAGTTGGATTCGCGCCTGCATTCACAGAACTCCCCGTGACCGCCGAGGACAGGGCTCGTGCTCCGTGTGGCACCTGCCGTGTTTGCTGACCACCTGTTTCCAGGAGCTTATGGCGCTCTGCTATTCCCCCCTCGCGCTGCCGCCGCGAGTCCTGGTCCCTGGTAGGGGCTCCAGTGGGGGCGGAGCTAGAAGAGCAGGGCCGCCCGCACTGCTGCCTCGGTCCGGCTTTGTGTTTGTGGTGCCCGTCGGCTGCGTCCCGATGGCCTAACGCGTTTCCGTGGCAATGGACTCCCACAGCATCATTCTTATGGCCACCTACTGTTTCACCAGAGGGATGGCCATAATATGCCCAGTTGCATCCTGGTGGCATTTAGCTTTAAAAAATTTGATGGAATTTCTCTTTAAAAAACACCCGAGAGGACAGTTAGATGCTTGGGTGTCCACTGCTGAGAACGAATCAGGACCTACTGTCTCCCTGATGAGAGTAGGGATGGTAGCTACTGTTTATTGAGTGCTTCTTCAGATGAGCTAGGGCTTCTCACGGAGCAAAGGGCTTGAGCTCTGTTTTCAGAGGATACGGAATCTTCTGAGGCAGGCACTGTTGTTCCTACGTTATGGAGAGAGAGTAAGTAACTTGGTAAAGGTCCCTCAGAGTAACTTGGTAAAGGTCCTTCAGACAGTGCATTTCAAGAGCTGGGATTCCAACCCAGGTGTCCTTGACTCAGGACCCGAGCTCATAACCACTAAGCTGTCCTGCCTTGTTAGGGAAGAAAGAAATGGGGGGTGGGGGTGGTAAAGGCAGGTCACCCCTGGGTCTTGGGCCAATGGCCGGCTGCTCCAGAACCGAATGAGGTTGCACCCAGAAAGAAGATGGCCGTCAGTAGGCCTCGCCTCCACCACCGAGGCAGCACAAAGGGTCCCTTTGAAGGGAGAGTTCGTAGCACCCCCCAGCCCCCGCTCTCCAGCCAAGCGTCCAGGGGGCTGGCGGGCATTTCTGGCTCGGCTTTCTGGCCTGAGCTGGGAGGAGTGGTCTGACATTCTTTCCTTGAGCAGCTCACTCTTGGTCAGAATGTGTTGCTTCTAGACTGAGGTGGTGTTGAAACTCCTGTGTGACCTGGGAGCCTACACGCCACCAGGTCTCTTCCTGAACAGCCAGTCCTTTGAAAATGTATTGATTTTCCCCCTCCCCTTCCCCGCTCTTGCACTTTGGATGAACCTTGTTTTCGAAGAACAGTAGAAGGTAATTTTCCTGTGCTTGCCAGCTGGCCCGTAATTGAGCAATTCCAATAACACCCACTGTAAAGTCTAATCGAAGTAAACAGGAAAATATGATTTACAATCTGGACGGCAAGTAAATACCAGGGTGCAATTAATTTTTACGCAGAGCAGCAGATTCTAAAGCATTTTCCTGCACTGAGCAGTTTGTTTTTAATTACAGATTAGGAGCTGCCCTTTTCTGCTATTATCGTCATTATTTTTCATTTTGTGATGGTGATCTTCAGTTTCCTTGCATCCATGTGATTTTCTTTGAAGGTGTGACCACAGAGAGGTGGGATGGGGAAATAGGATCGGAGAAATTAATGTATAAGGAGCGAGTTCTCAAACCTGAGCTAAGGCCTTGCTCTTTCAGCATTTGCTTGGGGGGTGACGCGGGAGGAGGTGCTGGTGGGCTGTGCAGAATGGCGCCATGAGGGGTCCTGTCACTGCTGGCAGCTCTGGGTGGTATGGGCAGGCCCTGCGAAGGCTGTGACTTGGTTTGGCCCAGTCTGGGGAAGGGGACAAAGCTGCAAAGGCCCCCAGTGTTGCAAATGTGTTGTTGTTGAAACGTGGCGCTTCCAGGGGTGGGAAATATGTACCTTTAAATGGACCCGCCCGATTCTTCCAGTAGCTTATGTTCATGACTCGGTGGAGGACAGAGGCCGCCTTGCTGGCTGAGGCTGCCTGAGGGCTGGTCCCTTTAGTTTTGACTGTGGGGTTGGTGTGTGTCTGACCCTCAGCCTTGGGCATATACCGAAGCGGTCTGTAAAGCCAGCTGGGTATAAGATGCTACATGACTTGAGTACACTCTGGGGACAGCAGATTGTGACCAACCCAGACCCTGAGATAGGTCTTAAAGGTGCCACGCGGCTGAATGGAGACCCATTGCTGTACCCACTAGTGTGTTGGCTTTAGGGGTGCCGCAAGGCCGGCACGGGGGCCTCTGAGAAGGGGATCCTGGCCTTTGCAGCCATGATGCATCACCTTCAGCGGGGAGGCAGTGCTGTTTCTGAGCAGGGCCCCAGCAGGAGGGTGCGCGGGCAGTTCTCTCAGAGCCCCAGTCTTCCCAAGTCCTGATCTTGCCTTTCTGTTGTCTTTCCAGGGAGTTGAGCACACTTGGCCATTTCCTGGAGGAGCCCTTCCCCAAGCGTGAGCAGCCGATTGGGAACTGTTCCTGCTGATGCCTGTCACCTGGGAGGTGCCCAAGAGGTCACCTCTGCCCAAGTCTGCCCAACCGAAGATGGCTCGTGCCCACCCTGGGATGGAGCCCAGCACCTGAGGTCCTTACCATGGTGATGATCCTAAGTAAAAGCCTCGACAACCAGGGAGCTGACTCCAGAGCATGCAGGACCTTCAACCCTGAGCTGGTAAGGACCTATTGGGCCTCATTTCTCTGATGACCTTTTTTGAGGCCTGATGTCCAGGTGGGGCTGTGGACTGAACATGCAGGCTTAGCAGACTGAGTCCAAAGTGCCCAGGGCAGAGCTCTGGGAGATGTTGCACCCTGGGGCAGTGGGTGAAGTAACCCAGAGCCTGGCTAAGTGCTTGCAAGAAGTAGCTGGAAGGAAGGCCAGCACCCTGGTAAATAATGCCAATCGGGGTTCTGCCACCCCTGCCAGGCTGAGACTGGCATTCCTCCTGGTCTCCACCCGGTAAGGGGAAGTGGTTTCCCGAAGGGAGGTGGTGCCCGAGTGGGGGCCAAGGTCAGGCCTCACTTCCAAAGGGCGGTGCAGAGGGAGAGCTGCTGCCTCAAGAATGTCAAGGGTGGGAGACGTGGAGAAAGAAGGTGTGGTCTGGCGGCCAAGGTGGTGGGCCGTGGTGACAGCTGCCCTCCCTGCCTTCTCCCCAAAGTTGTCCTGTGACCAAGTGGCCTGATGGGCTGGGCCGGAGAGGCAGACAGCTCGGCCTTCTCAGACTGAGAACAGGGGAGTCTCTTAACCTCCTTCCAGCCCTAATTCCTCAGAAGTGAGTGGGGCTGCTCTCCTGCAGAGGGGGCGGGAGGAGGTCCCACTCTGACAAAAATAAACCTGAGGAGGAGTTTTGCAGATTGCTAAGTCCACAGGACTCTGCCACGTTGCCCGGCACCCCTCCTGGTGCCCTTTGCAGCCCCTCTTGAGCGCCCACCCTAGCACCCTTGTGGGCTCCCTCCCCAAGCTCACACCAACCATCAGGCCGAGAGCAGACAGGCCCGGCTGGGTCTCCAACCCTTGTAGCAGTGTGGGAAAGCCATTGAGACTGGAGGCCTTTAGGTACCACCATGCATGTGCCGGGCACTGGGCTGGCAGAATTCCACGAGCAAAGATGGGTCAGGTCTCTGCCCATCACGGCTATCTTTCCAGTTTGCACTGAATATATGTCTGTAAATAGATTCCCTCTCGCCAGCCCACGGTTGCTGCTCAGGTCCCGCCTGCTGTCCTCTCGTGTCTGGGAATGTGTTGTAACTGGTCTCCTGCTTCTGGCTCCTTAGCTGTTCTCTACCAGCCACCAGAGGGACTACAAGGCGAATGCGTCTCTCCTCAGCTCTTGGTCTTCTGCTGGCTTCCCATCTCCGGCCGAGCAGATGTCAGAGCCCTTACCAGGAGGCCCAGGGCCCATGTACTCTGGCTGTCTGTGACCATGCTGCTCTGTCTCTGCTTTCCCCTGCCCCCTTCACTCTGCTCAAGCCACATTGACCTCCTCACTCAACATGTCAAGCACGAGCCTGCCTCAGGGCCTTTGCACTTCTGCAGCCTGGAACACTCTCCCTTGGCAGGACTCCTTCCCTGCCTCTCTTTCTTCTTTGTTCACTCGGCCTAAAATTGAACTCTGCCACAACCACCCTCTCCCCCACACTTTCTGCCCTTCCCCCCCTTCCCTTCTAGCGCCTGTCACTTTCTGACATTTTGATCTTGTTTGTTGAATGACTGCCCTGAAATGTGAGCTTCACGAAGGCAAGGAATTTTGTTTCTTTTGCTTGTTGCTGAGTGCACAGTGCCTGAAACCAGGGCCTGGGACATGGTAGGTGCTCAGGGACGTTCGTAGAGTGAATGGACGTGGGTTCCTGCAGCCCAGCTGCCGCCCAGCTCCTCACTTTTAGTTCCTCTGTCGCTGCTGCTCAGGTTCACAGCTGGGGGTGCAGGTATGAGCCGCTCTGCTTTCTGCTGTGTGGGCGGGGGCGCGGGGCAGGGGTGTCTTCCTACTAAAATCTGAAGACTACACCCAGAGTAGCTCTGACCAGAAAGGAACGACCTCTGGGGTGAGGGCCATCTGGAGGTCCCAGGCGAGGGTCCCTGCCCGCTTCCAGCTGTGCTGCTGGCCTCAGTAGAGGCCGTGGAATTGGTCCCATCGCGCAGGGCCGGCCTGGCTGGGGCTAGCCGTGGAGCTGGCCCCGGGGCACGTGAGCCCCAGTTCAGCTGAGCTGCTCTTCGTGGAGACATGGCCTGAGTGCCTGCCAGCAAAAGCGTGGCCTCCTGGCCCTAGCGGGGGAAGAGAAACTCATCTCAGAAAAGTCGAAGGAGGCCGGCTTCCAGTCCAGGCATGCACAGGGAACAGCCGAGAAACACCCCAGATCATTTGAGTCTAGCGCTGACGTCCATGAGACGGAAGGGAGGGTAAATGTGTTCTCCCCTGCCGGCAAGGTTGGGAGGAAGCGGACAGGGGCTTTGCTTCAGCTTCCTAAACTGGCAACGCCATCCTCGTGTAAATACCATCAAGATAACAACAGGAACATGGAAAAGCATTTCTCTTTTGTTTTCTAATCAGGCTAAGAAGATAACAGAAAGAGGCGGGGCGGTGGGCTTCAGATTAAAAAAGAAAACATGAATCACAGGCCACTTTGGAATTAGGGAAGCAGTGAGAGAGAAAGTCGCAAACTGTGGGAGAAAGTCACCTGGGGGCCACCCAGTCACCTTGGAGGCACTGGGCAAAGGAAGCCTGTAGCCCCTCCCTCCTTGCCCTCCGAGGTCTCTTGTTCTTTTTCTAAAAATGAAATGCTGGTGACAAGTGACCGGCCTTGTTCCCAAGAGAGATGTAGGAAAACAGAAAAAAGGACTGACAAGTGCTCAGCGTCTTGCCTTTCCCTGCGCCTGGCCCTGGGGAGAGAGGGCTGAGGGCCCCGCCTGGCCCCAGCACTGGCGTGGCTTGCACAATGCACAGCAGTGAAGATTGTGCTCAGTTCCCCTTCCCCCCCGCCCCGCGCGCTCTGCTGGTTGCTTTCCTCTGCGGAGTGGGCTCTTCCTCCTGGTGTTCTAACATTAGCTGCTGCCGCTGGAAGGCAGCCCAGACGGTTGACCCGGGGAGCAGTGTCCCCCAGCCCCCTTCCCGCACGCCCACGCTCAGGCCGTGGCCCGTTCTCCCAGGCCAGAGTGACCATCTTCCCCGGCCAGGCCTGCCTCCTCTCCCTGGCCAGTGTCTCAGCCTCTCTCTCAAGTCTGGAGACTGTTCCAGGGGAGAGGATGGAGCGCAGCTGTAGGCTGCCTCGCTTTCCCCAACCTCAAGGTATTTCCCACAACAGCCGACACTGGTTTGGGGAGCAGGTCCTTCCCTTTGTTCTTGTCAGATTAGGATGCCCAGGCTGTGATTTGCCCAGTTGGAAGAGTCTGTGGCCATGCCAGGCCTCGCACCCAGCTGCCTGGGTGCTGAGGGTCTTCGTACTTGAGGCCACCCAGAGTTGGCATTGGGCTCAACAGCCCCAGCCAGGATGGCTGGCAGGCCCAGGCTGGCCTGAAGTTAGAACCCAGAGGTGCACAGATGGTCTGAGGCAGTCCGATGCCTTTTCCCTGAGCAGACAAAGCCACTAGCCGTGCCTTGGCTAACCCTGAAGCCCCTGAAGCCCCTGAAGCCCGGGCCGCCGCTCCATCTCCGTCTGCTCTCTGAGATCCTCTACACAAGGGCACTCGTCCCTTCTGGGCTTCTCTTTTTCTTGTTAGGCATGGCTCTGTCTTCTGCTTTCCACGGCCATGGTCTCACTGTGTTCCTTTTTGGAGGCTGGGGTACTCTGCTTGTTCCTGCATGAGTGTGAGCCTGCCCGCGTTGCGTTGTGGTTTCCCATAACAGTGTTATGGGGAAAAAGTGACGTGATGGGTTTAGTCAGTAATCTGCAGAGCAAAGCTATGGAGAAGCATGATTATGGCCAGAGATGAGCTCTGCCATTTTCTGTCGGACCTAGTTCCTCATTAAGTAAAGACCTGAATTGTGTCTTTATTTGAGTCAGGCCTTCTTTCTTTAGTCAGACAGATGGCCCCTGAAGCCCCAGTTTGATTTCCAGCTTTTGCCTTCCCTGTGGAGGGTCTGATTCCAAAACCTTCCCTTGTGATCTGAGGAATCTCACAGAGACCAGGCCCTGTGCTGGGGGAGGCTTGAGAATAGAAGCATCACAGTGGGAGAAATATAAGGGGAGCTGTGCTCCTTGTCCTCTTTTCTGTAAACACCAGCCAAGGCCTGGGGCCTGGCTGCAGTGTGCACGGTGAGTGTCGTATGAACCCGAGGCTAGGAGTCCCTACGGCCTGTTGGGCCTTGCCGCATCGCATCATGATGGGCTGCCTCAGCCTTCTTGCAGTGGTGCAGAGGATTTGAAGGTTGGGAAGGCTGGCTGCAGAATGGTACAGACCAGCAGGAATTTTATCATAGTCTAAGCATACCGGAGATAAACTGGCTCTGGCCCACCTGGAGCCCTGAGGGTACCTTGGTATTGGGCTCAGAGAAACCTGACAGTGGTCAGGGTATGCCTGGGCCTGACATCCTGGGAGTTGGCGGGAGAGCTGGTGAGTGAGGCCCCAGAAAGGGCAGGGACAGGGCAGCTCGGAGGGTTTTGGAAGCAGGTGCTCATGGCAGGCTCCGGGCCTCTCGCTGGGTAAAGCAGCCCCAGCACTTCCTCAGTCCAGGACTCAGAGCCCCGGAGCAAAGAGGGCCTGGCTGGCCACGCCGGAGTCCTGTCTCTTGTCAGAGATGGAGGCATAGGCCCGCCAAGACACTGCAGTGATGGAGGGAGGAGGCCCAGTGCAAGAGTCGGGTGCTGATAGCAGAAGGTCATGCACATTCACATGCTCGATGAGAGAGCGGGAATGGGGCTCACTGAGAACAGGGGGCGTGGAGAAGGTGTTCCTTCAAGTTGTGAGATCTGAGTGCAAGTGATCGCTCCCTCTTACTCCCTGGGGTGTAGAGGGGCCCCCAACTGTCCAGCTGGCGCTCTCTCCCCTTCTCCACCAAGTTTCGACTTGGCATGAGCCCAACGATTTGGGGAGGTGGCAGGTTCTGCCCAGTGAAAGTCTGTTTGCATTGGCCCCGCATTTGCTTGGTGAGTGGCAGCAGGAGGAAGACAGGCTTGGGCGGACAGGTGGCCATAGCTGTTGGTCACCAGATAGTCACGTGGCACCTATTCTGCGCTGGGACAACATGGCAGCCTTAAGAAGCTTAATTCTCAGGGCATAAGCACAGAAGCAAAGGAACTGACACAGGCAGTGTGGAACACTCAGAGAAAAGCACAGGAGGGGAGGGTGCCCTTTGGCTCAGATGGTCAGGGAAGGTGGCCAGAATGAGATGGGAGCCTGTGAGGAGCCTGTCGTGGAGAGACCTGAGGTGGCCTGGGCTTGGCTCCCACGGGCCTGGTGGCTGTGTGGAGAGAGGTGGCCGGGTTCTCCTCTGGTTGCTGTGGGAAGTCATTGGGGGTTCGTAAGCAGAAGAGCAATGTCGGCTGGCTTCTGTGGGTTCTGGGTGGAGAATGGAGGGTGGGCCCAGGGCACAGGCCGGGGACCAATTAGGAGGCTGGTTCGGTTTTTCTGTGGAGGGTGGCTCAGAGCAGGGCCTTGGAGGCGGTGAGAAGCACTCCCATTCCAAGAGTGTGTCCCCCAGCCTGGGGAACGAACGGTCTGCAGCCAGCACGGATAAATCCTTGCTGAGTGAACGAATGCGTGAGCAAGGGCCCAGGAGCCCCTGTGGCCCGGCCCAGTGCTTCCCTCTGTAGGCACAGACCCCAGCCTCTCTGGCACCCACACAGGTGTCAACAGTTCCTGCGTGGGCCCAGGTCTAGAGGGCCCCGCCGTGCCCCTCTGTCGGGAACACACCGGCTTTGTGGAAGGACAAGTCAGCGGATTGGCTCCCTAGCTCGCGTCCTGTTGTCTGTAAACCCCATGCCCTCCTTGGTGGGTCTGCGTGCAGCAGACAGGCGGCTCCAGGCTTCTTGCTGTCTTCTGCTTTCCCTGACCCGATCCTGGTTTGGGTTTTTGTGGGCCGCCCGCCTTGGCTCGCTTTGCCACCTGCCCCCTCCACCCAAGCATGGGGTGGGGGCTTTGGTTCTCCAGTGGGTGTTTGCTTTGCGCCAGGCTGCTTCTACAGTGTGAGAGTTGTCTCACAGGCAAGGCCCCTGGCCTAGGCCAAGCCCAACTTCTGTCTCTGAACCCTCCCCCTGGGAGCAGAGACTGCCTGGCGTGCCTGGGCTGCATGCTTGGTTGTTTGGGGCCTCATGGCGTGGAGGCAGGGCTCTTGAGTCTTTGTCACCCACTCACCATTAGGTGGCTTTGGTGTGGGCTTTCTTTGTGCATCCTGCTGTGTTAACCAAGTCGTTTGGGAGGGAGGCAGACGCAGCCATCTTTAACTTTTTCCAGATACTTCCCTGGATGACTGTAGATGGGATGGTTAAAGTCCCTGTGGAATCCAAGAGGGCAACCTATCCTGAAAATATAATGAGTGTTTTAAACTGAGGAGGGGGTACCGGAGAAGGCCTGCCCCAGGCCCTTTGCTCCTTGCAGGCTTCTTCTGGTCCTTGAGCACCAGCTCCAGTGCTTCCCCTAGGAAGCCAGCCCTGACCTCCCGCACCCCAGCACCCTTGGCCTGGCCCTCTCCTCTCTGGTCCCACACTCTCTGTAGTGTAATGGTTTGTCTATGTGACTGTGTCCTCCATGAAATGTGAGCTTCCTGAGGGCCAAGGCAGGCATCCTTTACCTCTGTGTCCCAGGCTGGGCAGGATATACCCTTAATAACCTGACTGGATGAACACAGAGCTGACTGAGGGCAAAGGTCTCTGAACTGGGGAGCTGGGGCCAGGCACTTGCCACCCTTTTATCTGGGAGGGCCAGGTGTTCCTAGTCAGCTCCACCCTCCTGCTTCTGGGCCTGAGAGCCCCGGGGCCTGGTTCCCGCCCACTTCTCAGACTGGATGCCTGTTGTCCCTGTTACTTGGGGCTCCTCTCAGAAGTTGGCATTCTCTTGGACAGGCTGACTCCTCTGGGACCGAAGGCTTCTTTCCCCATCACGTGCTCAACCCCTAGTGCGGCCTTCATGTGAATAATTACCAGTACTTAGGATTGGGTGAAGGAAGGAAGGAAGGAATGAGTCTTAGGAATACTTGAGGCAGACCTTTCTTCCTGGGGCCCCTGTGGGCACCGTCTCCTCCTCACCAGAGGTCAGAACAGGCCTCCTGACCCATGCCTCAACTAGCACAGGGGAGCCCGGAATGTTCTGCACTCAGGTCACTGTGTAGCCGTGGAGCAGTGCCTGGTCTTGGGGCCCTTGTAGGCCCCACTGGCCTGTTTCTCTCCCAGTGGCCATAGCATTTTGTGAGGCTGGGTGTGGGGTTTGAGGGGAGGCGTGGAATGCTTATGGTGGGAAGGGAAGCCATTGAAATACAGTGCCAAGGAGTTCAAAAGCCATCGCTCTCTGCTGCAACCAAACATAACCTTTGAGTTTCTGTTTCAGTTCAGAGAGGGTGCCTGGGGGCCTCCGTGTAGTGGCGAAGCAGCTTGCACAGTGCAGGGTCCCCCGCTCGAGCTGTACCTGGTGCTCCTGTGTAGAGGACGACGAGCTGTTCTCCTGGGGTCTCGGGGGAGGGAAGGAGCTGAGGGTGGCAGAAGGGCCTCTGCTCCTCCCTGGGGGCTCTTCCTGTCATCCAGAGGCCTCCTCTTCTCCCAGCCCGCGCTGTGGGGCGGCCTCTCTGCAGCCCAGCGCAGTGAACCGTGTGCATCACACTCCCTCCTGCGCCTTCCTCTCTGGCACTCACATGGAAAAATCCCCGAGTGTCAGAAGTCGTGGGGCTTTCTTGTGTGTTTTTTGAGGCCATTAACTTGATGGACTCCATAACTCAATGGAGACTTTGGACAGAGAGTCCACGTCTAATTATGGGCAGATGTTGCCTCTTAGCATGCTTTTTTCTCCTTTCCCTAATCTGACGTTGGCAAAAGGCAGTTACCCCTTTAATTGTGACTTTAGCAAGGGATCAGTGCAGGGTCATGTGCAAACGTGCTTCTTATGACTTGAAGAGTGAATAGCTTTTCTGGTTGTTTTCAGCACACGCCAAAGAAGATGAGTCAAGGACCGACACTTTTCTCTTGTGGAATTATGGGTGAGTAACCAAGGTGGCTGTGAAGAGGCCTTCTCTAGTCCTTCCACCAGGGCCTGAGTCCTCCAGGTGAGATGCTGGAAGCGCTTTCTGGACACAGGCACAAAGAGCAGCAGTGGGGTCTCGTCTCTGTGCTCGAACCGTCTCAGGCCCAGCCGTGCTGGGGTAGCAGCCAGGCTGTGGGGCTGAGTGAGAAGGACGAGAGGACCCGGCGGACCCCCGCCCGGCCCTCTCAGGGGTGCTAGTGGGCGCTGGGCTGTGGTTTACAGATGTCATCTCCAACCATTATGTGGAGAGTTTCTGTCTGGTTATGAAGGTGATCATGTTCCCTTTGAGATATTCAGAAGACGCACCATAGTGTAAAGTATAAAATAAAAATCTCTCCTAGCCCCAGGACCCAGGGAGAACTGGTTAACATTTTGGTGTATTTTTATGTTCTTTGAGGTTTTGACATAGCCAAGTCTACGATGAGCAAATGATTATAAAAAATTGTATACAAAAAACTTTTTTTTTCTGGTTGCACTTAGTAGTCCTTACTACTACCCTTTCCCCAGGGCTTAGCGTTGGCCCAGCCGTGTGGTTTAATGAGTCTGTAGTACCTCATTGTGCATCAACGTGTATTTAACGATTTAACTGTCTCTTGTTTGTTGGGTGGAATGGCTGTTTTGTTTGCCGTTGTGATGAATGGTGACTACGTGTCTAAGTCTTTGTCTTTTGTCTGCCTTCTGGATTATTCCTTAGGAGTTCCCAGGAGTGGCTTAGAGAGGCCAGGCGGCAGGAACATTTTTAAGGTTCTTGCTTCGCATTGTTGACATGTTTTCCAGAAGGCTTGTCTTGGTCTCTTGTGACCACGCAAGTGTGAATGACTCTTTTTTATAAGGGGGCGGAGGAGATGACTGTATTGATTATATTGATTTTTCTGTGCTCTAGATGATCGGGCACAATCTCTCCTTTCGCCGTCTCCGTGTAACTCCTGCCCCCTGTGGGGACACCCTGCCGGATGAGTTTCTGTAATGTTTGCATTACAGCAAGTTACCAAGCTCCCATGGTGGGTGACCATTGCAGGCCTTCGGATTCCAGGCCTGGCTTCACAGGACTGTGTCAGGTCTTCTTTCCTTTTCTCTCAGCCTTTGACTCTGTGCGCAGTGTTTTCTTTGTCTTCTTTAGACTCTGTCCTGTAGACGGGGTGATGAGGGTGGAGGGGGTGCTGGGTATGTCGCCGTGAGCGCCAGGCTCCTTCCTTGCAGGGTCTCTGGGACTCTGCAGCGACTCTGGTGTGGGGCCAGTAGGGACGCCCCATTCACATATGGGGAAACCAAGGCCTCGTGAGGTGACTCCCCACCAAGCTCCCTTGGCAGAGTTGGGGGAGAAGGAAGATTGTTTTCTTCTCAGTCACAAGCCACAGCTCAGTGGGAGAGCCCCAGGTGGTCCTCTTGATGCTGCCGCCCAGAGGAAATGGAAACAGGGAGATCACCTGGCCTTGGTTTACCCTTGTGACACACTTCTGAAACATGTCCCCCCATGGGGCTTGATTGAGCACCTCGGTGGTGGTTATCGCCTTTCAACAAACCCTCAGCGACTTAGCCACGTGGCTCAGAAGCTTGCCTCATTGCCTGCTTCATGGGCTTGACTCCGCTGTGCTGTGGGGAAACTGCCTGCTGTTGTCCTGCCCGGAAGGAGAGGGAGGCCCCTGGGCACGCTCAGCTCCTCAGCCCAGCCTGGACGTGAGCTTTCAGCCAGGCCAGCCTGGTAAACTGGTGGTGGAGGTGTTGGTCTTTATTTCAAGGCCGTCCGTGCCTGACGTAGGCTGGCTCCAGGCCACTGCCAGGCAGCGGAGGAACGGCCGGGTGGGGGTCCGCCGGGTCCTCTCGTCCTTCTCCTCAGCTGCCTGTTGGCCAGCGCCTCCTTGATTTGGGGAGACCCTGGCCCATCTGAAGTGTGCATTACCAAGGCTTTTCCTTCACCACGGTTCATTTTGGTGGTTTGTTCCAGTAGGTGTTTATTGAGGGTCTACTCTGTGTCAGGCACTTGGCCCAGAGAGAGAGTAAATCAGCCCCTGCCCTCAAGGGGGCGTCTGTCTAGTGGAGCGGAGAGATGGAGAAACAGTGAATTCCCTGTGGATTGGGGTCCTCAGAGCCGAGGGCAGACCAGCCCATCTCCCTGAGCCCCAGTCCCCTCATCTTGCAGATTGCAGTTCTTAGTACTATTTAAAGAGACAGCAGCGCGCAGAAGGCAGCAGCTCAGCCCCTCCCACCCTCAGCCCCTTCCCGGGCACTTGCCGAGCTGGGATGTCAGCCGGCAGAGGCCTTCCCAAGCCTGTGTGCTGGTGGAAGCTCAGGTGACCGCTCCCACCCACTTTATTTTATTTATTTGTTATTTTTTAAAGATTTTATTTGATTTATTTGAAACAGACAGAGAGAGAGCACAAGAGGGGTAGGGTGAGAGGGAGAAGCAGGCTCCCCGCCGAGCAGGGAGCCCAATGCAGGACTCGATCCCAGGACTCCGGGATCATGACCTGAGCTGAAGGCAGTCGCTTAACCAACTGAGCCACCCAGGCGCCCTCCCGCCCATTTTAACCTGTGTACCAAGGTGTGGCCCTACCCTGTGCCGTGAACGGGGAGGGCATCCCAGGCAGTGAGGTCTCATTTTTGGCATGCCTGCTTTTTAATGGCACTTCAAGAGGGTTTTGAGGTTTTCCAGGACTGGACAATACTCAGCCAAGACAAAATGTCCTATTACTGTAATCACCAACCCCCCTGTCTCCTGGAGATAAAGAACTCCTGTTGTGGTCCTGATGGGTGGAATTCTCCCGTGATTGCAGGGGACAGCTTGGCCCTGTGACTCAGGGCATTTCCCTCCCAAGCCCCCATTGCAAGGGTCCTAGTTGGAAGCCAGGGCAAGTTTGAGTTTCCTGAGCATTCTTAAGAAAATCCAGGCAAGCACATTAGGGTGGGGAGTGCAGCGGCCTATTTGCTTCCTCTTAAATAGCCACCCTTCAGAGTAGCCCGGCCTCCCCTACACCCACTTAGATAAAATGCCTTACTCATGTAATCAAGGACTCACAACAGTGTGTGTTCTTTTTAAGTACTTTATGTTATTGTAAGCTGGATGATGGGCCCCTCCCCACTGTTGTCTCCCCCCTCCCCACACACACCCCCTAAGTTTGGGAACTTGATATAAAGAAGCGGTTTTGCGCTTTCCCAAATTGGGGGAGTGAACAAAGCCAGGACGAGGTGTGAATGGCAGAAGCAGGGACAGTAGGGCCAGGCCACCGCCCGGCCTGCTCTGCACCAGGGCCCAGTGCTCCTTCTTAGGTTGTGAGCCCAGTCCGGTCCCCAAAGGGCTCTTTCTAGCAGAGACAGTGTTTGCCTCTGGTTTCCTTTCTCCCCTCCCATACCACCCCAAGAACACTTTCTGTGCAGAGCGGGAATTTCCTCTGCAAGCGGCTTCTCTGGGGAAGAGCCGTGTACATGACTGGTTCCTGTGTTCTTAACACAGGAAGCCTTGGTCAGGTGGCAGCTCCAGGGCCGCGGCCTGCCCCCTGGTCAGCTGGTCAGCCCTTGCTGCTGGCCATGATCTCTAGCGGGTGGGGAAGGGGGCTTGGCCGCACCTGACGGAAGCGCTCTGTGCTGGGAGAGGCAGCACCCCCCCACCCAGGTCCTCCATCGCTTGCTGTGGGAGGTGCTTCTTTGTGCTGACCCAGGGGCACACGTGTGTTAGTTTAATCTTTTTTGGTGAAGCAGGGCAAGTGGGGTGAGAGCACGCTCCACTCACCACCCTTGGCTAATTGCACCCATTAAATGAGTTCTGTATCACAGGGACGATGGACACTACACATTGCATTTTCCTCACCACTGAGGCGAGGAGAGACCTGGAAATCAAATAGTATGTGAGAAAGCAAATGCAATACCAATTATTGCAAAAGGGCCACTAGGAAAAGTCGTGTAAATACAAGTCAATGAACAGAGAACAAAACAATTCATATGCTAAAAAAAATTGCATGGAAACCCATAATTACTTTAGGAGTTATGGTAATAAATTATTTATTAATGTAAATTATTTCGCAGGCAGAGAACATAGAGAAACTTGAGCAGAAGGATCATGCATTATGTATAAAAGGGAATTGTAAAAATATTATAGCAGCCTTACTTGTGCCACTCTGGTTTAGGGTCGTCTGCATTTTAATTATACGCCCTTATTTTCTGTGTTTAATTACTTGACTGTTAAAGTCTACTCTGTACATGAAAGGGTTGTTCCCAGGGGCACTCTCTGTATTAATTTCTACAGGGTAAACCAGTTGGCTGTGTTGGGCCGTGTGGGACTGGAAGATTTCACTTTGAGATTTCATAGCTTTTCGTCTTTTAACTCCGCCACTCGTTGTTGAAAGTGGAATGTGATTGCACCTTGTATGAGAAAGCTGGCATTTGGAGGTGGGACATTTTCAATTTCTTAGAACGAGCACGTGACCAAGACTGAAGGGACAACCGTAGCAGCCCCTGAGCTGCTCAGGCCAGTTTCTGGTCTCTGCTGCTGCTTCTGTCTCTCAGGGCTAGCCATTTGGAATATGATCATTGGACCAGAGCCTCCTATAAGAAACAGATTATTAACTGAAATTGGCTAAAGAGAGCCTTGTTTTCATTTTTTAAAAGCACATCCCCCCCGGGGCACCTGGGTGGCTCAGTCGTTGGGCGTCTGCCTTCGGCTCGGGTCATGATCCCGGGGTCCTGGGATCGAGCCCCGCATCGGGCTCCCTGCTCCACAGGAAGCCTGCCTCTCCCTCTCCCACTTCCCCTGCTTGTGTTCCCTCTCTCGCTGTGTCTCTCTTCGTCAAATAAATAGAATCTTAAAAAAATAGAATAAAATAAAAATAAAAGCACATCCCCATACAGGCATGCAGATGTATGATTTTTTAATTTTTTATTTATCGTGATTTTTCAGTCCCTAAAATGGTTTAAGGTTTGTCCATAGAGAGTGCTTTAAATGTTTCCTCGCACCATGTATTG